TAAACAACAACAACAAACAGATATATTTGAGGACTGAAAAAGCCTTTCGGGTGCGGGATAATCTGTGGTGGCATTTCACTCCATCAGACCAGAGGATATGAGGACTAAGGAATTGGGTCCTTCCCTGGGGGCCTCAAATCGTAACAGGTAGGATACCCCATCTTTGCCACACACAAAGACAACCTTGCATCTGATTAAAACAGAATATCATGGAGGGAGGGTTTCTTGACACTGCATCCTCACTGTGTTCATAACAGCACTCCAGGGTTGACCAGTTATGGTTTCTGTGCGGCAGGAATCTGCCATTCTTTGCCTGTAAAACTGGCACTGGCCTGGCCTTCCCCACTCTGAATTGGGTTGTGTAGGACTGTTTGTTGGTTTGTTTACTGTCTTCTCTTTGTTAGGTTGGTTGGTGGCTGATTTTGCCCTTAAATCTATTTTGTCATGCTTCCTGTATTGAACCTCATGGAATGTTTTGAAGAACTTTGTTTTCCAATTTGCTGAGTTATTTTAATTCTTATTCTACTGAGCCTTTAAATGTACAAGTGGTTTTTTCTCTTGATAAAAAGTAAAGTGATCCTGGGCCCGGTGCGGTGATTCATGCCTGTAATCCTAGCACTTTGGGAGGCCAAGGTGGGTGGGTCACCTGAGGTCAGGAGCTCCAGACCAGCCTGGCCAACATGGTGAAACCGCTTCTCTACTAAAACTACAAAAATTATCCAGCCATGCTGGCACATGTCTGTAGTCCCAGCTACTTGGGAGGCTGAGGCCAGAGAATCACTTGAACTCCGGTGGCCTAGGTTGCAGTGAGCCAGGATCCTACCATTTCACTGTAGCCTGGGCTACAGAGCAAGACTTTGTCTAAAAAAAAAAAAAAAAAATTAAAGTAAGCCTGGGCAACATGGCAACAATCCAGTCTCTCCAAAAAGATACAAAAAAAAATAGCTGGGCATAGTGGCACATGCCTATAGTCTCAGCTACTTGGGAGGTTGAGGTTGGAGGATCACCTGAGCCTCAGAAGTTGAGGATGCAGTGAGGTATGATCATGCCTCTGCACTGCCGCCGAGGTGATAGAGTGAGACCGTGTCAAAAAAATTTTTTTTATTATTAAATTGAGCCAACACACCAGACTTACATTATTGGTTTCATTTCTTGTCTTTGGTAAAATTCTTTGGGAGACTTTACAAAGGAATTACTCAGAGAAGTTTAGGTGGTCCCACATGGCTGAAAGGTCTCCCAGGACCATGCTTTTGCAGCTCTTTCATACCCAGTGTTCACTCTTATGGAAGATTCATTTAAAGATGGATTGTGGTTAGGGTGAGTCTAGTTTCTTAGGATTTTTGGTGATGATCTCTGATATTGGAAAGGTAGTATGGTTATCTTAGTCCCTGGATCATCCAGATCTTTCTAATAAGTTGATGTTCTCAAAGTACTATAAGAAAACCACCCAGCCTGGGCAACAGAGCAAGACTCTGTATCAAAAATTAAACAACAACAACAAACAGATATATTTGAGGAC